TAGCAAGTCAACTATAATAATATTTAGTACTTGTCAAATACAAATTTTTTTCGTGAGAGTAATTTCAGATCGTATCAATAATCAACAACGTCTGATGAATTGCATTCATAATTTTCAAATGGATTCTACTCCCGCATTGATTGTTGATTGCCGCTTTTTAAGTCAGCTTTCACAACAAGCTCTTTCACAAACGCTACTTCAACTGTCATACTTGGCTAGTGAGAATCGAGATCGAAAACGTTCATGGCCTCTTTATTTTTTTAATTTCGATTTTGACAACAAATGTATTCTGGAAGCGCGAGATAGGTACATCTTGCTTATTACAGTAGATAAGCATAATAAATTTCCTACGCTTACCTGGATAATGGTCATGTTGTTTTAGATACTTATCAATAGTCAAATCATCGAAGAATACTTTTTTGACGATCTCATCATCAAGCTATCTCAATCAGTTCTCGCCTAAACAAATTATATATCTAAGTCCACATGCTACATTAGATTTGGAAAAAGTGCGTATAGAAACCTCACAACTTGTAATTTTAAATCCATTTTATGAACCTAATTTTTCAAACTTACTATTGAAGGTGAAAGTAAAATTCAAATATTCCGTAACATTTTTTAGGTAGATGGAACAAAAGCGTATGTTATAGGTGGTATAGTGGATAGAGTTGCGCAACACAAGCTAGATCCCCATGCAAGTCTACTAGCTGCGATCGAAGATGGAGTCGAAGCTCGTCGACTTCCACTAGATAAATACATCAAGTTATTTTTCGGCTCGATAAAAAAACTTATGTTACTTGCAATGTTTACTGCATATGATATAGATTAAAAATTTTCGATATAAACACCACCTTTAATTTTGAAAGTACTGGTTAAAAAACTTTCAAAAGCATGCAGAGTTATCTGTTCACATCTTAAGTAGTTTTGCCCCCCATCTTCTCAAATGATTTGAGTTGCTGAACTTTGAGCATAAGTTCAGTTACAAAACTTCAAATTTTTACAACATTCATAACTTTTTAATTGCATTTATACAACTTATAAACGTATTTTTTTATAGGTGGAAATCGGGTTCAAAAAGTATGACTTTGCTTGCAGTTACTTCAATTTTATATAGTGTATATGAAACAGACGGTGATTGGGAGGCAGCTTTTAAGAAGTGAGTTAATTTGCAATCACATGCAAAGCATGAACCTCATTTTAATAAAAAAGAGCTGAGTAAAGTTTCATCTATAACAAAACAAGTTAAAAGTTATGTGAAAAATATTTTTAGGTATGTGCCTACGCGAAATCTTAGAGGGCCAGAAGAGAAAAATAAATACAGTCAACGATTACATGCATGCATACACGATTACGAGAGACGTGTTTTAGTGGAACTTAATCAAAGATTAAATGATATTTGAGATACATATAATCATAGACTAAAAATGTTAAATCGCTGATGAACTATCCTCTATGCTCATCCTCATATCTACTAATAAATATAGCAAGTGCAGTAGTAGATGTGAGAATAAAGGCTTAATAATATATTTAAATGCACTTTTGAAAACAGTTAAGGATCAAATTACAGCGAGCTATGTTTTTGATCTTGGGTAGTCTCGCACCATTTTGGGTAATGACATTTTTATGTGCTCACGACCGACTGTTTTTAAATCTATACTGCATCTGAAATGCAATATTTTTACTAAAACAGAGTAGCAAGATTCTGCAGTCACTGCAGGATTTTTATACGATAGAATCAAGAGTTGGAATTTATTTAATACCTATGAGATTGTGGATTACGATGCTTACTGCAAAAGACATGCCCACATAAACACTGCATTTCTCTATCGGCTATACGTAATTTGATTCGACACATACCGCATCGTTTATTTTTCACTTCATCTTTTATCTGAGATTTTCTTCAGTTAATCAAATTAATAATGTTTTTTATGCAAAATCGGAATATGTTTTTGTCTCAATCATAATAATTAGATTTCTAAACCTGCAGTAGCTCACTCTGATTCGAAGGAACATCAAATAATTCCTCCTGAAAGTTCTTTTCTTTTATGGTTTCTGGTGGGTCGAAATACGTTGCTAATTCTTTTTGTTCAACAACGTCAGCAGGATCAGTTGGAGTTGCAACAGGTGAGCTGAATAACAGAAGGTTTATTTAACAATCTTCGTACAACAATGCATCCCGCCAAACATTAAGGTTAAAAAAGACTGGAGAACTCACGTGCAAGGACTATCGGATGGCGAAAGTAACTCAGACAACTCTTCTTTTTCATTTGTTTCTTCTAAAGTATTTCTTTCGCTATTTTCTAATGAATTTTTGGTACATTTGTTCGACGTTCTATTATCAATTTCGTTTCGGATCTTTCTTCGACGTTGTCTTATTAATTTCATTTTCCGCCTTATTTGTTCATGTTCTTCTTCTTTTTGTCCTTGAGATGAGGTTTCGACATATTCAACTGACCTGAACTTTTATCAGAAAAAAATTCATGTCTACATAAAACGAACTTTAAATCTTAAAAACGAAAAAATGTAATAATTTATTTATAAAGTTCCATCCTAATATTAAAACAAAAACTTCTTAAATAATAGTTTACTCTGATAAGTTTGATTCAGCGCTATCCATAGGTGGCAAAGCACGTATTAAATTCCGCAGATTTGCAAGTGATTGTGACATACGTATTAGCGAAGCTATCTCTTCTCGGTCATTATTACCAGCAACTGGTTTCACCAACAACCACAAAATGCTGTCTGAAACAACGCCAGCAGATGCTAGAGAACCATATTCATTCCTGAAAATATTTTTATATTTTGAAAAATTGCAGTTCTAGTATGAAAAAGGTTGGAAACTACTGAAAAATTCAAATCCTCTATAGTTTAGACAGTTTAATTAAAAAGAAAGGAAAAATTAACTCTGTCATCAATTTCTGAAATTGATAACCAAAGCAATAAAGCTAAATGGTTAAATGGCAAAGAAAATAAATCCTTTCTTTTTTAAAATACGATTACAACTGTCTGAGACACTTGGATACTCCTCAAACTCAAATTTGGAGATTAATACTTGAAAATCAAACCCACTTTAACTCTTTATTGCCATGAACGAGAATAATTTGATGGACACCACCAAGTCGTGATTGCAAATAGTTTTTCAGTACACGTATACTTGTGGATTTCTTCATCACTAGTCTTAATGGTTTAAACGATGAAATAGTTGCTTTGATTGTTACCTGAGCAAATAGATCATATACCCAAATTGCATACATTAACTTAATCTAACAATAACACATTTAAGTAAGCAAATTTAAACAAGAAGAGAGATGCTACGATTACAACTGTCTCAGACAGTTGTAATCGTATTTTACCAGTTGCTGGTAATAATGACCGAGAAGAGATAGCTTCGCTAATACGTATGTCACAATCACTTGCAAATCTGCGGAATTTAAATGAGAAAAAACTTGACTTTTTAGTACATTAGTACTGCTCATCGTTAAGATATAACCCTTGAACAATAACTTTATGACTCTGACTCTAAAGTAATGCAGTAAACCTAAGTCATATAAATCAACATGACTTACTGTCAGCATATCACTTCTAGATAAATGGCTTTCTGATTTTGATTTCGAAGCTACAAAAAACTGATAGTTCGATTAAGAGTAAGCAAATTTAAACAAGAAGAGAGATGCTTTTACAGTTTACTTCACATGTATTATGTAAACTTTGCAATATTATTTTGATTATGCAAGTCTTGTAATCTTTTCTTGACTGAACTCTCGCATTGTTTTAAATCAAAACATGGCTAACTGTAACCATCTCTATGTCAGTGTTACCATATTAAACAAGTAGGTATTTTCAACAGCTGATTTTTCAGAAGAAGATTTAAATAAACCTCTAGTTGATTGAAAAGAGAAGCAATTAGATGATTTTCGCACATTTGAAAGTTCAGGAGATCGACCACCTGGCGAGGTAAGCGCTCTCAGTACCTTGTTACTATTGTCATTTTTTACTCTAAAAGTCGAAGTAACAGTCAATAAATGCAAATATTAGCAAATTAAACAAATTTACTTACTTTTCTTGCACGTTTTTATTTTTCTTCTCTGAAGAGACATCGTTGTCAACGCTTACAATCGAAGATTCTGTAAATGAAATCATCAAAAACGGAAATAATGAAAAAATAAAAACAAACATGCTGGAAAAACACGAAAAAAAACACAAAAATAAAATAAAGCTAAGGAATTTCAGCTGAATATTAATAAATAGAAAATATTTTACAAGTAAGGTGCACTTTCTTATTTAGCATTTTTTACTCCTAACTTATTAGCTGTCAAAATAACATACAGAATCACTGCTGTAAATTATAATACATATGCAATTAACTTAATTAAGAGTCAGCTTGTAATATTCCTCTTAGCTTATATAAAAGTTGCTGCGATGCAAGCTTATATGAAAGTTGTTGCGATGCAACAGAGCTAATACAAAAGTAACAAACTCATCAATCGTACTAATAGATACAATACAAATTGAATGACATATATGAGCAGTATTAAACCTATATTGGACGAAAATACACCTTTCTTGAGATAACGTGAATTGTATAATAACATGAATTTCATTCTAATATACAAATAATATTACGTGTATCTGATGACTGTTCATCAGAGGAAGGTGCATTAGATGGCCGTGTACTTGACTGATTAGTTTGCAATTGTTTAGAGCTAATTATGACACGAGAATCTTTACTTCTTGCTTCCTCTTCCTAAAAATAGATAAAAATTAATTTTACAAAATAAAAAGAATATAAATAAATTAACATACGATGCTGCCAAAAACTTTACTAATAATTTAATTTAAAATTCAAAATAGATTAAAAATAGCATTAAAAAATCAAGAATTAATAATAAAAATTTACAATATATTAATGTTGACCTTTGACTGACCCTTGCCTTCATCATTTCTCATAAATAACTATGTAAACCTGCTTTAAATGCAGCCAACTTAATAGCTGTAAAAGTGTACGAATAAATAAATAACGATAAAACACAATTTATATAATTAAACGAATGTGAATTGCAAATTTAAATAAGCAAATAAATAAGCAAGTGAGAATTACCATTAATAGGAACATATCTCAATCCCGACGTTACATTCGCGAAAGAGACGTGAATCTTGCGGCCGTGTTTTTCTAAGCTCTCCAAACGTTCCATATTATTCAATTCTTTGTCTCTGTAAGGTATTCTTTCATGAATTTAGATTCAAAATCAATCTCACATTAATTACTGTAAGTACTGGCAACAAACAGAATCAATTTAAAAGTATGAGAGCTGTAGCATTATTAATTAATAATACGTTACTATTATTATCTGCGAATGTTTTGTTTTGTGTATGAATTTGCTTTGCTTCTTTTCTCTCAATTCCTATTCTTACTGCTCTTTCTCACTTATGTAAGTTATCAATGAGAAAATCCTTCTACAGTTTATTAATTTTTACACTTTACTCTATAATTTGCATATTTATCTTCACGTCATACATTTTCGCTCTATAAATATCAGGAATGCAATGATCTTTGATAATTATAGTGATTTTGTGCAAAAAATAATAATATTTGACGTAGACGGAAAATCGAAACAATCAGTAAATTTTTAAATTTTACGTTTACGAGTGTGGACTAAAATTGAGCACGTAATTTGAGATCTGATGCGCAATACAAAAATTAGCATATACTTTTCAGACTTAATGATCTATTAATTGCCAACTTTTCAAGCTTTAGTTGCGATGGGTATTTCTGAATCAAAATCACTGCTTAGAGCCCATCCAATATTGCAACGTCTTGGTACTGGAAATTATGAAGTTGGCTGCGCTGAAATTATGGTTAACGCTGGTGAGCACGATGATATTGGCACTCTAGCAACAATTTTCTACCCAACGGAAGATGATATTACATCAGATGTTTGTTAGATCTAACTTTGTAATTTTAGAAAATTCATTGCTTTTATGCAATGTATGACATTTTTATAATAATAAACTGGTGGAAATCGAAATGAAGAGCTAAATAAATCAAGGTAGTTTTTAATTTTATGTAATGAAAATACTCAAATAAATAAAGTATAGCATTTATCTTCCTGCATATGTTTTGTTATTGTTTTAGGATATATCACAACACCCGTTATGGATACCAAGACAAGACTATATTGATGGTTTAGCGGACTATCGGAACACTTCACCCCGATGGATGAATTTCATATACAAATGGTTTATTGGTGAAAAAAGGTGCATTTTCTAAATCTTAGTATTAGATTATAAAGTTTCGGTTGTGAAAGAAATTCAAAATATTTTCTCTTGTTTAAGGTTTAGATTTTTGCATTTCAAATGTATTCTGTATCCTTTATTTACTGCAATAATGAGCAAAATCAGGAAAGCAATTTAACGGCTTTGCTTTTAACACTAATGATTCCGAAAAATTTAATGCCGCAATCAAAATTAGTGAACAATGTGATATGTCTCATAATCAGTCAATCTTATTTCGATGTTGTATCCTTCAATAAGTATTTAAATGCTTGGTTGCATTTTTTCTTGCTTTAAATCCCGAAGGTACAGGTTAACATTTGCTCAGATGACTAAACCATACTCAATTTTACTTCAGAATCTCCGCACGTTGGCATTCTAGAGTAAATGAAAGCATACAAAACTTTCCAGTTTTCATATTTTCTCATGGTCTTTCGGCATGTCGCCACTTCTATTCAATTTATTGCTCATCTCTTGCTAGCCATGGATATGTTGTAGCAGCTATTGAACATCGGTATTTTATTTTGCTACAAAATAATTGGATTCATATTAAGAAATGCCATATAAAGCTCCCGTTTTACTCAGTTTCATGTTTTACGAGTTTAACAGTGTTTTGTGATTAGATTTTTTTATTTTTGAACTTCATAAATATCAAGCAAAGGAAAGGTAGTAAGAGTAAAAATGAAGCATAGTCAAAATTTGAAAACGGAAAAAAGTTTCAGAAAATAACTAACTTAGAAATCTAAAAATTTAATAACGTATAGTTGGATAGAAATGCTTTACAGAGACTGTTCTGCTTGCTGGACTTATACATTAAAAATTGATGAAAAGACAGGGGAGAAAATAGAAATTCCGGTAAAAGTGCGAAAACTGAAAGCAGTTGATGACGAATTTCAGCTAAGAAATGGACAGGTTTTTGTACTACATATCAAGTTTTAATCCCATTTACAAAAACAAAGAAATTTTGAACATTTAAAAGAAAAGCGCTTAACAAAGCAAAAAAATTTTTCTGCAAAATTTGTAAATCATCTAATTACTATCTATCTTTGAAATTTTCAGACATATAAACTTACATGAAAGATAAATCACTTAACAATTACAATATATTCAGCTTCACAAACGAGTGGCAGAATGTATCAAAACATTACACGTACTTGAAGAGTTAAATCTTGGGCAGTGTACTTCAGATCAAGAAAATGATAAAAAGCTGTTGCTGGGAAATGATTTCGAGTGGTCACAGTTCAAGGTTTTACCTATATTATTGTAATGCATGAATTTCACACTCACACATGCGTTTGGCTACGGAATGATTTTTTGTAAATTTTATCGTTTCATGTGAATGTTTGTTACGATCTGTTATAAAGTGATATTCGTTATCAATAATCTAAGATTTTAATAACGTACAGTTGAATAGAAATGCTTTACAGAGACTGTTCTGCTATCACTTTATAATACATTATGTTTGAAGAGATTGCTTGTATAAAGCAGTAATTAAAAAAGAACACCTAGCTATAGGGTCGTTTGAATATGAACAAGATATATATTGGTGGACATTCATTTGGAGGTGCAACTGCACTTGCAACTGCCGCCTTCTCCACTGATTTCTGTGTAAGCTACTTTTTTTCCAAGTTGCTTCGCAGTTTTTTTGCACTCTTTCCATTTTAGCACCAAATACTTAATTTCTATTCAGGGTGTAGTAGTACTTGATGGGTGGATGTTTCCAATTGAAAAAGAATTGCTTACAAGTGTTCGACAACCTGTGCTCTTTATGAACGCAGAATACTTTCAGTGGGATGAAAACGTGAAAGACATGTTGCGTGTAATTGAGAGTTCGAAACACAGCATTCTATTTACATTCAAGTACATTAAAAAGTATTTACAGAAGTCGTTAGAATCTAAGATTTAACGTCATATATATATAAAGATATTAATTTTCTCAGAGAGAACACTATAATTTCATAACACAAAAATTTTAAGTTCGAAGCATTAATTGGTGAGTTATGAAATCTCAGAACGATCGGTAAGCTACAGAACCAAAGCCTGACATTCTAATTACGAAATTTACGTAAAATAAAATTTCAGTGAAGCTTCACACCACTCCTTCACAGATTTTCCTCTTTTGATTCCGGTAACTATCGGTCGCTGGTTGGGTATTCAAAATTTGCGCGATCCAATTTACTATGCCGAAGCGATAATTGAGTCAACCGTATTCTTCTTGAATTATTGCAACGATCCTAACGAAACTGCTTTCGATGTACAACAATATAAAGATATTATCACGATGGGAGCAAAATTTACGAGAAAATTACCGCAAAAATCTGCCTAATTAAATTTGGGACTTTCCTATTTTACCATGTGAAGTACCGCTAAAATCACTACTTCCTGACCACTACGAGTTTACAGAATGACATGTTTTTTTAATCGTTAGTTATGCACTAATAACGAGATACTGAATTTACTTCACATACTTGTCGGGGTTGACATTGACTAACGAGACATTTGTCATTCTTTACTTAAATCCGTCCAATTAATTTAACAGTCATTGAAAATATCTATAATTTACTCCCGTCAATGATGTAAAAGTACTGTGGTTCTGTAATCTTTCTAACAACTTGTTAGAAATATATCTCGCGTTGTCTTTATATGATGAACACGAAAATAAAGTAATAATAGATTTTCTCATTTTGCACATAATTTATTGCGTAACAGTTCGAAAACATGGCAACTGACTAAGATCACTGGTAGAAATCAAGATCGTATCATTCATCCTCAGAATAGCATGATCAACTACACCGATGGGAGTACGTAGTCCGTCGATAGTATAATGTGTTTGGTCAGCTTTTACTGAAGTTAATTTTCCACTCACGAAAGTACGCTCATACATATCCAACTCTACCTAGAAAATCCTTTCAAAGTTATCCTGTTCCTCCAAACTCTAAATACAAGAAAGAGATAAAAGTTTCCTTACAGCACCTCATCTGTACGGCAGAAAACCACAACCTTTTTGCCTTCAAGAAAAGATATAAGTCGCAGATAACGCTCCCTCAGTTCTGCTCTTTGCGTTTGTTCTAACGTGTCATCACATGACTTGGACGTCTCAGCCTCGTCTTTATTGCCTTCCATTGCTACACTAATAAGTAGTAAGGAATTTATCTATTGAAGAATAAAAAAATACTCACTACTCAAGTGCTTGAATCATAACCACGAATGATTATGTAACCTTGGTACGACTAAAACAAACCATTAATGGTTGCAAAAAGCATTCAATGGAAAACCATACAAACTACTGCAGGTTAAATCACTTTATTCACGCAAGAAGAATAACAATGCATAGCAGTTATAAGCACACAATAAATCAAATGATGCCAATCTTATTTGCAACATCAAGTGCATCATAATCAGGAGCCAAGCGCACATAAGCTTTCTTCTCATGATTAGGCGTGACTAAGGTATTTACCTGAAAACTTATCAGTATAAAAATAAAAAATACAACTTTTTTTTTTGTAATACATAAGTTACCGAAGGAGCTGTCATAATATTCACTAAGCTTATGAAATGACAACAACTGACTGAATCAATAAAACAAAAATTGTAGTACACTAAACACAAAAATTTTATAATACTTACTCTTTGCACATCAATATTGTAAAGTTTCTTGACAGCCAAACGTATCTGAGGTTTATTTGCTTTCATGTCAACGATAAAAACCAGCGTGTTTGTATCTTCAATTTTTTTCATTGCTGATTCTGTAGTTAAAGGGTGCTTGATGATAGCATAAGCGTCGAGTTTTTCACGTTTAGGGACGGATTTTCGAGGATAAAGAGGTGAACGCGCTTGGTATAATGTACGTGGCCTACGAAAGTGTACAGACGTCCTGATCTAAAGAAAGAGAAATTTTATAGAAGAAAATGGTTTACACTACATGAAATTACAATGCATAAACGTATCAAATGCATACCTTCTTTTTGTGCAATTTGAAATGCCCTTTCACAACTTTCTTTTTGGCATCTAGTGCTTTTACTGTTTTTTTATTACCCGCTCCTGAAAGTATCAAAATATTATAGATTGCAGTGCAAGAAACATTTCCGTGGGAATCAAGAAAAATGCAAAAAATAGCAGTAATCGTGCCTTTCTCAGTCTTGTTTGTTTTTGTGGCACCTTTTTTCAAAACTTGCTTGTGAACCATTATACCTCCTGAAAAGTTTTCTAGATTATTTATGAACCAAAGAACTTTGAAATCTGAACGAAAGAACGCAAAACAAATATTGACACAAAAAACTTCGACATTAACAATTATAGATACAAAATTTTAATATTAAGAGTGAAACAGCTCAAAATTTTTGTTGCTATAGTAAAGCAAATATGTCACTATAAAAATACGATCTTCATGTGTTCAACTTTTATCATTTAAAGAATCCTATATGAACAGTACTGACAACAAAGATTGCACTAATGTAATTCATTGAAAGATGAATATTTACTAGGCAATATTAATTGACGTAGCTGATAAAAACACGACGGTATCAAGACGGAGATCAATAAATTGGAATGAAATGAAGTATTTTTAAGTTACGTCAAAAAAGGCTACTAAACCGGAAATAAAGAAACTAATCAGATATTACGAATCAAAAGATGAAAACTGACAACTTCAGCACTCATATTTATCTTACAGCAAAGTGGGCCGTAGAAATTAAAATGTAGTGAATGTGATAAAAATCTGTAATGATAATGACATCAACTATAGCCTTATAACAAAGAAGGCGCGTGCTCAACTCGGTGAAAATCACGTTTCCTCATAATTCGTTCAGAACTTCTATTACAGAGCAAATAAGCAAATACACACATTAAAACAAGAACTGCTAACAGTATACATATAATTACACCCATTGCTACTTGATAAGCAATCAATTGTTTCTGAATTTTAGTTTCAAACGGCGAAAATGTAGTTGTCATATACTGCACCAACTGGAAAATAAAAGCATATAAGACATGTTTTAAGGTCATTTATTATTAAACTATAAAAATATGGCAGCTCTAATGAAATCACGATCACAATTTATTAATACTGGTGGTCATACTCTGTTAAAAGCATATCGTGGTTCTAAATTAAGATTGAACAGTAAATGATGACAAGAACTAACTGAAGGAATATATGCGTTCCAGAATGATACCGATTCCCAACGATAATCCCTCTCTAATGAACCAAACTTAGTCAGGTCAGAATGACGAGAATAATTAAAATTGACATACCAATGTGAGCGCGGTTCAAAAGCAAGCCAACTAGAATCAGTTGGAAGATTTGGATTCCTGAAATGATATCACTTTTGAAAACTACATATTCCAGTAAAAATGAACTGAAGTATGGATATAACAAAAATACTTCTTCTAGTGCCAGAGTTGATTTTGTGCGGTGGTATCACATAAAATACTAATCAACACCGACCAATAATTTTGGCTGACTTTTCAAAAAAGCACATTAAAAGCATCATGCGCTTCGCAGACAACAGCCAAGTATTTTAAAAAAAAACGTACATATTCATAGCGAACTGTCGAAATACTGATGTTAGAAGTTGACTAGCATTTCGGTCTGTATCCGTCCATATTATATTCGTAAAGCGTGATTGCAAAAATTCTTTAGGCATAAACGGGAAACCAAATAAAAGATACAAGTCACAATCATGACAAACATCTTAAATGGCAATAACACGAAGGTAAGGAATTTCAATATCTTAGAGATTCTAAGAACATCACTCAATCTACTATACTGTAATCACTGGAAGCAAAATAAAAATGTTTAATTAATAATATTAATAAACAAACTATATTCTCAATTAAATAATTCAAATACGATGAATATGGATAAAACTCATCCAATCTGGAAAAAGTGAAGTGTTCCAACTCTTTCCAAATTCATAATTATTCACAAACATGAAGACTCGTGAACCAGCCACAGAATGTAAATATGCAGAAAGGCTTACAGGAGCTACATAGTAAGCATCTGTTATCATCTTAAAAAAATTATAAATCAATTGATGCCGGTCAAATGTATGAATCTGGGAAGAGCTAGAGTATGTATGAGGTTGTAAAGAGGTCCTGTGAGTAGAATAAAGAAGTACCTACAGTCTCAAATAAACATATTTCTATTCAAAAAATGCAAGAATCCGGAATTTAAAAACCTGCCTAGCGATGAAGCAGCAAACATATGACTGTAATTAAAAAAATAAAATCGAGCATATGATCCCTCTTACTGCTATTGCCTTGAATATACTTAATCGTTCATCAAGAGTTTGATATAGCAAACACTACAAATAAATCTTTAAGATAAACAAAGAAAATTATCAACGTACACGTATAAATTCATTTCTAATTGCAATTTTGTTAGATGGATCTGGCCAATATGTATAACGATGAATAATTGCTTCTGTAATAGCTTGACGATTAGTTGTATAATTATGGCGAAATGCATATTCAAGAACATAGTTTTCCAGATACTCCTGATCTACCAATTCGAAATTGTTAAACCTATCTAACAGTCGATCTTCAAGCAATACCTGAATTCAAGAAATGAATGACACCAGATATCAATAAATTCATTCTGAAGACAAATTTAGCAATAGAATCTTTTGCTACTCAGGAAAGGAATTATTGAAGACATATAAATTTGAAGCACTCAGGTACAATAGTTGTCATCAATTTTCAGACCCGAAAGATGGTAAACATCACTGTGCTATAATCAATTTTATCTTCCCTGTTTGCAATGGGCCCCGAACCAATTACACTGGAACTCTACAGTAACTACCCAATCTGCTATGCCTGCATCTACACAATCCTATAGAAAGATACCTACCTCAGATCCATCATGCTTATTCAAACTGACAAGGTAAGGTACTGGTGATGGGTAATTGATAACAGCAGTTGGAATTGATTTTAAGAGCCATAGAGGATCAGCACGCACAAAATTTCTATCAACATGAGGCAGGAAAAGATAGCGATTATATTCCACCTGAAATCATTACATGTAAGTTGGTGGAAGTGCCTTTTGCTGGTAAATTAGAATATGAGAGAACTGAAAAATTATCAAGGAATAGCAGCCATAAATATCCAGAGAATTAAATGAGCGTGAGTTTACATAAACTAGTTCACAGCATCGGAAACCGTTATTTTAAAATTTTTTATACCGGTATTGTTCCAACAGCCTCTATGATGTCATTTGTTGAACGCGTTAATATGCAATCCCAGATATGTTCAGCTAAAGTATGAGTGCAACCTAAATATCGTCCAAGTTTCACCATATTATTATATGCAAGACTGGATTTAGAAATCGTTGAATGATATGAAACTTCTGAACCAGACATTGCTACACCTGCTCTGAATAAACCTGAAAATAAAATGTCACGAAAAAACACGATTTATAATATAACAGAAAATCATTGCAACATTATTACTACCTTTTGAATAAGGCGACAGCATATGTAAACCAACACTGACGCCCCCAGCATCATGTCCAACAATTGTTACTTGTCTTGGGTCTCCGCCAAAAAAAGCAATATGATCTTGTACAAACTGTAAAGCCGTTCTTTGGTCCTAAACTAATTCTATCTTTGAATTTTCAAACTTAGAAGTTTGTTATTTCAATCCAAAAATAAATAAATAAATACTATAGACAACTTTCAAGCCGTAATTGCCAGTTTCCGAGCCTCCAAAACTTAGAAAACCGAAAGCACCAAGCCGATAATTCACAGTGACAACAACAACACCTCGCGAAGACAACACATGACCAGGCCAGTCATTAGCTGAACCAGTTTGAAAATTGCCACCATGAAAGAAAACTATAACGGGACGACCACCGTTCGATATCTTGAATGAGTTAATGATATTTAGTTCAAAGAATGAGTCAACACTCGTTTTTTAACTGCATTTAGTAGCCTACGAAAAATTTAAAATACTGAATCACTAACACTAGTAGTGAAAATATTCAAGTAAAGACAGTCCTCACTGATACGAAACGGATAAGGTTCTTTAATGAATAACGAGGAGCGTGCTCCAACATCTTGTGCACAAGAAGGTGGATGCTCAAGCGCTAGAAATGGCTGCTCTCCAGGAAATTTCGTTAGAATTTGCGGAGACTAAATTGATTTCATTCAAAAGATTACAGTGATACAAGAAAATTGTACAACAACACATTAAAAGAACATTTTTATTACTATCTCATAAAATCAATACCTAGGAAGTTACAAAAGCGCTTCTTGCCACTCTTATTACTCATAGTAATCGCTCTCTATGTTACTCTTAATTCTTTAATATCGATGAATAAAGATTTAGTTCTGCATAATTTTGAATTTTTCATGCAACAATTTACCTTGAATCTACGCTGCGAAACAGGAGGTTCAGCATATGGGACCCCCAAAAACACCATTACCGTAATATTATTTACTGCAGGTAAAGAAGTAGGATCAAAATATTTCCACCACATATGCTCCGACTGAGGTGGATCAGAAGTCCAAGGCACATTATAAACTGTTACTTTCTGTCCAATCAAATCTCCTATCGACAATCGGACTAACACATCGTCTCTTTGTTGCTTAAAACAGACAAATTCACAAATAATAATATAATTAATTAGTTCTGCGGAGAATGCACAGATTAATTCTAATACAGTTATATAGAAACAAAATATATGGTGACATCCAGCACATAAAATGCCCTAACTTAAGTCCACTTCACTACCGATTTCTGGTTGGTCAAGGGAACTAAAGTCGGTTTGATTAATCGCCAAGCTATTTACTCAAAATGATCATATTCTAACTAATCTTGAGAAGAAAGTAATCTAAAAAATCGTATAACAAAGCTTGTACCTAATATATGCCGAATTATAGGTAAATTGATAAATTTTGATAGGAGATTAAACCATAACAAAAGGTTATTCCTTACTTCAACAATAAATAGTCTATCTAACTTGAAGTGTAGCAGTAATCTGCGAGAAAAAAAATACAATACAAAAATGCAGCAGGAAAAAACTGCCTACTTCCATTAACCTTTATGCTAGAAAGAAAAAATTACTTATAAAATATAAACTTACATACATTGAACGATTGTTTAGATTCATCACCACTGCAGAATTTTCCCTCGACAAGTAAAAGGACAAGTAACTCCAACCATCTGAATCGCAACAACAATATCATATGATTTCAATAGTCTAGCATGTATTGCTACAGATGCAACCCAAATATGCTTTAATCATCGATGCATACCTTTTCCTTGAAACAAAATTGTTGCACAATGTCATCTGAAAACTTTTTTTCCCGTGACTTCTAGAATAGTTTGGTGGGATGAATTTTTTATAATCTATTAAAATGCTGCAGACTGTGATAATTCTGTAATTAGCTGGAATCATTGTGTAGGTTGTAAATTGCATGAATTCAAAAAGATTTATTGACTTTTTTCAACTTTTTGAGATATTTTTAAAAAATATCAAGTTCAAATTGCTATTTTTTCAAAAATAGCATACGAAAATTATATGCCAAAGTATATTTCGATCGCACTTCAGGGAATATTTGATGTTCGTTTCTTCTATTCTATTAACTAAAAGTTGTACCATTCGAGAATTTTGCGAGATTTGTAATTCGCGTACTTATATTTTGCGTGAAGAACACTCTCGAAAAAACATTGAAAAGTATAAAAGCATAATCGCGTGAGAAACATATTCAGTGCCGTTTTACGAGGTTCATATATAAAAATTTTTATTTTAGTTTTTTCCAGTTTTTTGTCCACTGTAGTATAGAAAAGATGAATTTCAGACCGACAAAATTTGACCTGAGGAAGGACGAATTTTTTTCAGTTGTTTTGTAATGATCATTGATGAGATAAACGAAGTACATTGGCTGTTTTGCAATGTCAGAAGTTTTTAATAAAAGTTTTGAAAATAAAGACAATAAATGTTTTCAGAGTTGTTAGTTTGGGATGGAGACTAAGCGTGAGTGGGGAATTATCGTTTTTGGTGAAAAAAATAAGGGAAAAATTACATATGATATGATGCGGTATGTTAATTGTAATTATTACTACAAAAAGGCGTATTATTAAAGAAATAGCATATAAGCACAATTATTTCCGAAAATGAAATCTTACTGAATTTCAAAAAGTTCAAAATGATATGTCAACAAAAATTCAAAATTTGTTAGAAAGTAGCAGAAAACTTTCAAATTTTTAGCTCTTAACCACAATCGAGTATTAAAAAAAGGAAGAAAATTTCAGATCATTCGCAACTATGTTTCGTCAAAAAGGTGCTTACTACGGATTGAATTTGGTGGATTCACCAGCTATTCTTTTTACAAAAAATATCGATTTGGCGCGAAATGAAATGGAAGATTGGTTGGGAATTGATTCAGAACCAGCTGAAATACTTGTTATTTTTTTCAATGACAGCGGTACGCCATTTTTTGTTTGTATTTCATTTATCTGTATTTTTGTACATTTAAATTACTACAAAGTTCTAACTACTACTAAGATACCTCACGCATAATATCACGCAGAACTCAGCGCAGAAAATGAATTTTGCATTTTACAAACTGTCATTTAAAATCTGATATGAATTTCGAAATCAGATTTTAAGTAACAGGCTCTTAACAGTATTTATTTTAAGGCATCTATTTATATAACTTTTGAGCATGTGAATGTCTTCCTCTTGCATCATCTTTTGCTCCCTTATTAAATTCATGTCATGAACGAAATTGAGGATTGTGTAAGTTTCGTTATATAATTTTGAAAAAATGTTGTCGAATTTTTAGTCATTGATGTATGAATTTCTAAAACTGAAAAGTTGAAAGAAAAAAAAGTAGTAAAAAGTAAGACCAATCATTTCTGTAGTTAGAACATTGGGAGCGTCCAAGAACTCGGCAGTTAAGTGAGAAAAGTATTTCTGTCGTTTTTGTTCTCTTTTGTTACTATGTTATTTTTTGATTGTTTTTCGTAATACTTTATGTAAATTGATCCATTTCTTAAGAAAAACTGTGCGATTTTTAAGTATTTTCAATAATTCGTTATATTCATGTTTTTTTTTTCGAACTTAGTTTCCTTAATACTTTTGCTATCTAATTTCTATGAAACTCAGTGATAATTTTTATTTAATTTTCAAAATGATGCAAGAGGAAGACATTCACTATTATTAAAAAAACGAAATTTCATCTTTGAGCCTAGATATCGGATGAAGAATGAATTAATATCTGCTGAATTCCTATACATCAATTTATAGTATTTGGAATCTTATAATTTTAAATGCTAGCGATTCAATTTACCGTTTTCTTCATCGCGCAGTTAATTTTCAGATTCAGACGAAGTAGAGGAAACAGTAAGAGAAGCTATACAAGAGCAAAAAATCTTGCTCTATGAACAAAGCAGCTGTAACTTACTTCGTTGTGCAAATGAAGAAACGGAGATTATGCTGACGTGCTGGATTAAAGAAGTTCGTGATTTGCTGTATCAAAAAGTTTCCTATGGTAAGTTTATATTAATAATTCGTTTTTTAAAAGGTTTTTTGATTTTGAATTTGTGCGAAATTCTTTTTCATTATTTCCAAAAGCTTTGATTATTTTTTAATAATGCTATCATGTTAGTTGCAGTTCAAAATTTGTCGACTTGGAATTGTTATCTCAGTATGATTATGTTTCTTTAGATTCATCACATTCTGCAATTGAAGCTAAATCATTCAAAACAGATCCTGTTGCGGAAAATGAAGAAGAATTAGCGTTAGGTGCAGAATGTTTTATATTTTTTTGACAGAATTTATTCTAAGTAGATTACAAAATATTTTGAGTTTCTTGTCAGTCTATCAAGAAACAACTAGTTTCTCCAAATGCAATCTCATTATCAGGATTAATTCATAGACCTTATTCTCTCTAGTCTTAACGTATTTTAAACAGATTGCATCACTTCGAATGGAGATAAAAGACAAAGATCTGTAGACGATGAAAAAAGCCAGTACAAGGATGATCTTCTCAATTTTTCTGATGTTAAGGAGATTTTAGTGGATTTAAAGATTCAAAAATCACTAAAAGATTTGGATTTGGTAATTTAAGTTTTTTTTTAATGGCAGCAAATAGTAATGGCTAAAAAATTGATAATAAAAAGTTCCGTATACTTATACAATTTTTGATTATTGAAAAACAGTAGTTTTGAAATATCTTTTGCGGAGATATAGAAGTACTTTGTTAAAAATAAATGCTTCATTTCTTCCTTTTTATATTTTTCTACTGAATCAGTTGCTATTTGCGAAATTTTTTCCAAAACAATATTGAATCTGTTAATAAGGTAACAAATACTTCTATATCTCCTCTTCTATATCTCTTTTGAATCAAAATGTAGCTTTAATACTTGTGAGAAATTGTTTTATAATTTGTTGAGTAGAATATCGTAATTAAATAATTTCTTCCTTTAATTTTAGATATCACGTATCGATAGTCCAGCTCTTCTCAATAGACTTTATATTCCATTCAGTGATAGGGAACAGAATGGCCAGTTGCTTACTCTTCTTTCAACAGTGGTCAAGACAGAACTTCCTCATCTCCAAAATACTGTTGTTTCTTTTATAGAAAAAATCCTTGCATCAGGGTTAATCATTTTTTTAAATGTTTTTGCTGTTTCTAATGAATATTTCTTAGCAAATAAAGGTTTTATTTCAGATTCATTTCCTCTGTGCTTCATGAAAATACGCATTTCATCTACGATAATGCCTCAAATAATGAATATTGCACTACCATGTTTTCTTATCTTCAAAGTATCATGGATTTGCTTTATATTGCGGAAGTAAACCACATCCAACAATTTGTGAGTCAATTCTTTGTTTTGAAAGTTTATAAAGACTTCACATATTTCATGGAGTACTATGCTTTTTTTTGCTCTTCGTTTTGATTTTTTTCATTATTATGGTGATTTAGGCTATCGTTTATAAAGACTTCACATATTTCATGGAGCATATTCCGGAAAACTGCTGGTCATCCATTGATGAAGAACAGAAAATAACAGTTTTTAAGATGCTTCAGAAATTGGCAGTATGTTTCACTGAAACATTTTGTAATTTTTGCATTGCTTTTTCCTTATCAGCTTTCTGTTCTTATATTTGACTGTCAATCATTCAGAAATAAGGTGAAATTATTTCAGATTAACTTTAATTCCGATGTCCCTCCAACAAATCTGAATGATTGTACTCAGTTGAATACAGATGTAAATAAATTAGAAGTTTCTGAAAATATGTCAGTATCATCTGTCAAAAAACGAGATGACTTGGAAGAGTACAAGTTAGCATGGATAGATAATGAAACTGTCGAGCCTCCTGAAGACTTTCGGACATTATCAGTATTCCCTAGCACTGAAGATTTACTCCATCCCGGTATAACTGTTTTAAATGGCAGTCATTTACTATATCATATTTACTCTCTTATCATCACTAGCATGTAATAACCCAAGTATCATAATTGGGTTCTTATTTCGAACCAAAAAACGGATCTTTATTTTGAAATTGAGATAAGTTTCATGAATTAATGATATATTTTTAAATATTTTTTTTGCTTACTTCACCTCTACAAAACATGAAATGTCCTAAAATGAATATACCTGCGTTTCATTATATTTCATGTTCATATACCAGGCATTTTATGATATAGTTTAATGGTATCATATTAAAAAGCAGAGTTGGATGTTAGTTTTTGGAAAAGTTTTATAATTTTTTTTAGTTCGACCTTATATTCGACGAAATATTGTTGAAGGAAGTTATGTAAATCAAGAACATTACCTCGATGTACAGTTTCGTTTACTTCGTGAGGATTTTACTGGTCCATTACGAGATGGTATCAAGGCTTGGAAGGAACGAAAGGGAAACGGTTCGCCTTGAAGAAAGCAAAAAATAATTAATTTTCAATCTGTGTTAAGACGCAGTTTCACTTTTGTACCACCGATTTATAGTGTTTTTGGTCTAGAATTTAAAAAAGTTGAGAAATAATAAAAATAGTATATTGCGTCTGTTTGTAGGAGCTTTTTTGTCTCATGCTCTGGATGCGAATGAGGAACTTGATCTGTTTGTATTAAGTGGTGTGAAGATTGAAGGAGCTCAGCTAAAACGAGTCTCGGGCGAGATCTTACGTTACATAGTTTTTCAGGTTGGAATCCTGTTTATTGCATGTGTTCAATTTCAGATTTATGTTATAAGAAGTTCACTTATACAAGTACAAAACTCGTCATCTAGTTATTTAATTATTTACTAAATATTTATTTTTCTTATACTTTACAAAAAAAATTTGCAGATTTAACATGTTTAAAAATTTCCAGAATCAGGGGATTTACTTTACATTAATAACTGGTAACTGCCTATGTCATTAAATATTTTTTGTATTCCAGAAATTATGCAGTTCATTATACACTTGAAAGAAATTTTCTGTACTGAAGAATAGCCGAAAAAAACATTTTAGTTGCTAGAACTCCAAATTTCTTATCATTTTTCAGCATTATATATTTGTTAATTTTGAAAAATATAAAAGTTGATATGGAACTTTAAATGCAAAAAAAATTTTTTTTGAAGTTAGCTTTTCATCTTTGAGATTAATTAAGATAACTAGATGATGACAAACTCGTCATCTAGTTAATTATTCATTAGATATTTTAAATATCTGACGTATGAATTTTTATGTATAATATTTTCCAGCCCATTGATGCTGACAGTCACTGGAGTTCACGACTGAAGTTTGGGCAGTTAGTTATTCTGTCAAGCGATGGATTTGAAAGTATTAGCAACAATTCATTTTTCATGTTTAATTGTGATGAAAGACTTTATTTTCTTTACATAAACGCTGAATCAGCAGTTATTACTATCAGAAGATTCACTGCAACAATTAATTTTTATAGGTCACTAACTGATTTGTAATTACTAAGGTAACCGGTGATTTGCAATTATTAATTGTTTGAACAATTCATAGTCACAAATTAATTTAATTATTCATCACAATGAGACATTTTTCTTAATGATATCGATATTTAGAGGAAGTTTTGCTCGCTACTGTTGCTGAGAAGGATATGGATGACTATGCAAGAGGCAAATTGGGACTTTGTTTTTTTGATGACCATTCAGTTTCGCGGACTAAAATTTACACTTTGGTGGAATCAAACTCTTACTATGAAATGTACCAACATGTTTTAGAATGCGTGAAGGTATTACTTGGTTGAAAAACAGAACAATAACTTAGTGTTCTTCAAGTTTAGACAGTGGATGCAGATAGTAATGTAAATTGTTTCGCGAATTAAAATTTTTGAATTCTGACATTAAGATAAATAGTGACGTGAATGGAATTTTTTTATGGAAAAATTTTGTTTCCAGTCGGAATGCTAGTTCATCATTTATATAGCTGCTTTGTATTTTACATTCGTAAAATTAGGTGAGTAGTTTGAAAAATTGTTGCGGAAGAACGTGAAACTTAAACGAAAAAATTCTAGATGAAAGTCAAAGATGTAGACCCACTTGTTTTTCCATTTGAGCCTTTCATTACTAAGAATTTTACTGAACTGAAAATAGGATTTAGCAGAATTTTTGATCAGTAATAAATATATTTTAACATTTTCAAAGCGTTTTGATGCAAATTACGACATCCCATTTGGACGCTACTTAATAAAAGCTGAACCGGATGTGAAACTTCCATCGTATCTTGCTGAAAAAGTTGCAAGTGATCGTTCTGATTCCTCAGATTCGTCATCAACTGAATATACTGATGATAGCTACTCCGATTCTTCATGTTTGTCTCACATCTTTTAAGGCTTTTAAGTTTGGGATTTTCTATAGTCACCTCTACGTCTCAAAAATATTACTATAATTTTATAATACTACCATGAAAATTAAGGCGCTGTAAAAAATTGCTTGAGACTGGTCTAAAGCTTCAATTATTTTGGATAAAACATTTCTAATCAGAAAGAACTTCAGGTGGTAACAAAAAAATAAGTATTTTTGGAGTGAAGTATGAGTTGGATAACTTGAAATATACCCTTGATGGAGATAAAGTAGGTGATGGTTTGGATGATGCTCAGCGGAATGCTTTATGTCATGCTCTAACTCATGAAATTGCTCTAATTCAAGGACCTCCTGGAACAGGTTAAAATTGGTATTAATTTCGATGTAATGGTAGTTCAATTCATTAGCTTGATCTATTGTAGTTTATCCAAAATTGTTGGTGCTTTGTGCTTTGGAAAAAAATATAAATAATATGGAAAAATTTATTTAGATCTGTTTCAGCTTTTTTCACAACGTTATTTGCTAGTGTTGAAGAGAGAAAAAGCATTGCCTTAGTTCAGATGACTAAAAAGATCATTAAAATTTTTTTCACATTTTTCCTCAGTATATATATTTGTTCAAAAATAATCTTCATATGAGTTTCTGTTGAAAGAAGGTACACTTCATTGTAGTTTTGAACTGCAAAAAAGTCAGCAGAACATCTCAACTTGTTTGTTAACTTCTGAAATATTTTATGGCTCAGGCTAACAGCTTAAGAAAAAATGAAAAAGTTGCTAATTCACTGTTTTTGAAATTATTTCTGAAATATTTAATTATTAAGTCAGCATAAAATAATTAGTGATGGAATGAAAGTGATAGCAGTTAATAGTGAACAGTATTGTGATTGCAGGAAAGACTTTCTTAGGTCGCCTTATTGTAAGAATATTACTAGAGAATATAAATTTGTGGAATCCAGCCCGGCGGAATCCTATTTTGGTAGTGTGTTATACGAATCATGCTTTGGATCAGTTCTTGGAAGGTGTTTTAGCAGATTTAATAACTGATGGGCGCTATAGCAGTGAATTGCCTAGTATTGTCAGACTTGGTTCACGTTGTAGAAGCGATATTTTGCAGAAGTACAATATTTTTTTCTTAACTTCGTAAACGGAGTGAAAGGAAAATTAAATCAGTGATTTCCTAATAATTACTAATAAACATAGAATAAATAGTTTCCTTATTCACTTTCTGAAAGTATGATGCATTTTTTCATGCTTTAAAAAGTGAAAAAAATCGTTCATTGATCACAGATGATAAAATAAATGGTATGCAAATTTTTTAAATTTACTTTCAGTTATTCAAGACAGAAAGTGGTAGATGATTACGATCATTTAATTCCCACTGAAGAAAAAAAAAAGGTGTTTTAAAAAGTTTTTTTCAGTCATTTCACTGTGGACAAATTTTTTACGCATAATGATATTGGAAGTACTTTCTTTTATTTTCTCTAATAGTAAACGCTTTGAGAATATCTTCAGACAAACATTGTAACGTCCAAAAAAGCCAAACTATTGGGAACAATCCGTACTCAAGTATCTGTACTCACACTACGTAAAAAAGAAATTTTATCGTTTAAATATGTTCAAAAGGCAATGCTACCAGAACATGCCCAACAGTTCAAATCACAAGGGAAAGTTAGTGAGAAACTATGTGTATTTACTAGGTTTTAATTGCCATAATAGGTATAGATAGTATTTATCGCACTGTGATGAAAGCCGTTTTCTGTCTTTTAGTCTTGTTATTTTTTATGCCATCAGTTAAAAAAATTTTAATGTAAAATTTTACAAATCAGTGTTTATTTTAATGTAAAGGTAATGTTTAGTATAATATTATCATATTTTTGGTACTGCATTAAATATTTCTGGCTATATAGGTCGAAGAATTATTTTGCATGTGGCTTCTAGAGGGCTGTGGTGATATAAGTAGCCATACAAGCGAAGAGAGCACTGATGAAATTTCAGATGATCTTGAGGTATGATTCTGATTCTTTGAATTAAACATTATAAGTAAGTAAACGCTATAATTAATACCTCTAGCGATAGTTGCTTTTTTAAGGACATATTGTTTTCTGAAAATGAGAGTTCTGAAATACCTGTAATGTGGTCCATGGATGAAACTCTTTTAACCGAAGAACATAAAGTCAGTGAAATTATTGATAACTTTGAGACAGATGAACAAATGACTTGGAAAGAAATGCAGGTTTGTAAATGTAATAAAAATATTTCATTCAAGGGTTATTTTCTGAACAATTTCTTAACTATCCTCTATGTAGAAAAAAAAAACTATTCTCTTTATTTGCTCTCATATAATTTATTTCATTCTTGATAGAATGAAAGCAATTCATTCGACATTACATCTGTCGTAATGGTTTTCAAAATCATTATGTTTTCGTGAGCCTCAAAATAATATATTTATTATTTATTTCCTGTTTTGAATACCTTCATATTCAGATTAATTTACGATTTCTCTTCACAACGTGTGGTTCACAAGCCCAAGTCATTTTAATTTGGTTTTAAATAAAGTTTAAATAATTTGGCAGCAGAGGAATAATTTCATTGAAATAATTTAATTTCATTGAAATTCTTCAGGAACAGTTGCTCAAAGCTGATCCAGATAATGAGGAATATTATTGTACTGGCGTTTGGGACATTAATAAGGATCCAAATCCCACTTATACTTCTTCAGTTACAATTTTACAGGAGAGCGTTTCTAAAGATTTGGTTTGTCATGCATGTTTACTATCTTGCTCTAAATCAAAATTTATATTTTCCGGTTTGTCGATTTTTTCTTAATGAATGTACTAAAAATTTTTTCATTTCAGGCAAAATATGCGTACCTTTTGTCGGAACTACTAATTGTAAAGGATGATATATTGAATGTGAATTTTTCTCCGAATTATTGATAAAAATTTTCAATTATGTGATTCATGTTTATTATAATTATACCATGTAATTAAACCAAAATCTGCTTGAGAGTTTTTTCGTAATTACTCATTTCCATAATTTTCAGCTCCAGTTTTTTTCAAGACTTAAATTTTATTCTCATTTCACTTCCTTTTGTAGCAGTTAAATTTTAGAGTCCACCTTTAACAGCTGAAGAAGCTTCATCGATATACAACCTTCAAACATTACATAGAGAACGACGATGGGCGTTATATATGTATTGGATTAATGAATTGAAAGTGATCACGATTAAAAAATTGGATGAGTTGCTAAAATTGTATCAAGCTGAAACAGAAATTGTCCAAGCAAGATTTGATGATATGCATCAAATTGTCTTACAAAAAGCGCTGGTATAATTTTTTTTTAGAGTATTAAAAAAAATTTCTCCTTTTTCGAATATTCATCAAACGATTCATATTCAAAAAAGAAAGATTTCTGTCCTTCGAGTATTCGTTTTTCAGAGAAATTTTGACCGAAGATTTATTTTGAATGATATTTAAAATGTTGTATATGCAGTCTATATGGTTTACAAGTTTAATTATTAGAGTTACAGATTATTGGTGCAACTACAACGGGTGCAGCGAAAAAACGATTGTTTTTAGATCGTCTTGCATGTCCAATTGTTGTGGTTGAAGAGGCGGCAGAAGTGCTGGAGGCTCATGTTTTGACAAGTATAACAAAGGACTGTCAGCATGCAATTCTTATTGGTGATCATCAACAATTACGACCGCATCCGTGTATGTTTCCAAGCTCTTTAAAATGCAATAATTTTTGAACTGAATTCAGAACGTTACATTTATAATCATTTTTTGTCTCTTCAAAAATATTAATTTTATTCACACGATCATTTTTTAATGGTGAAGGATATAGATTTGTTTATGAAGTGGTTCCTGAATTATAAATGTTCACATTGCTTGTGTGTATCAAAAACCTTGTAATCTAACCTGTTTTATTCACACTCAACGAAAAGTCTACTTCTATTTCATTTCTACTCATTCGATGGAAGAGTTTGTGTACTTTCAATCCATGGATTTAGTTTTTTCAGTTTAGCGTTTGTTTTCTGTTTGTTTCTGCACTGTTTCAGATCTCTATTTAGTAAATTCTTCAGAAATATTCTGCTTGCAGCTGTTTTTGCACTTGCTCGGGAATATAAATTGGATATATCACTGTTTGAAAGACTGATTAAAAATAAATTTCCAAATGCTGTATTAGAAAGACAACATCGTATGGCTCTTTTGATTTCGAATACTCTAATGCCTGAATTTTACCCCTTAATGGAGGATGCTGACAATGTTCGTAGCTATCCAGATGTCAAGGGTAAGATCATGTTGCGCATCATAATTTTTAACGAAATAAAAAATTTTATTTATCGAAATAGCTTCTCAGAAATTATAATTCACTAACTAGTGTTTCAGGATGCAATAAAAATTTATATTTCATTAGCCACCAGCATGAAGAAGATATTGTTCTTTCAACTTCACGTAAAAATTCATTTGAAGGCGATTTCATGTTAAATTTAGCCAATTACTTTGTTCAGCAAGGCTATTGCTGCTCGCAGGTTTTCTTTTATTATTTTACATGCTAAAAATTTACAATTAGATATTTTCTTACTATTTTAAAAAAATAATGATTTCAGGATTTATTGCATTTTCTTATTTCAGATCACCTTACTGTGTGCATACACATCTCAGGCAAGTTATGTGAGAACACAAGCTATATCTAGATTCGGCTGTGATAGTTTTCCAGATGTGGAAACTGTTGATAATTATCAAGGATATGAAAATGACATAATTATTCTGTCTCTTGTTCGTTCACAACCAAGTGATTCTATTGGATTTCTAGGGGTAAATTTGTTCATATGTTCGTATATTGAAAGTTTAATGATATTTAAGAAATTTGAAATAGTTCAATTTTTGTTTTTCTGTACTATTAACAATTTAAATAATTTGTTCAGCTTCCAAATCGTGTCTGCGTTGCTTTATCACGGGCTAGACTTGGCTTGTATATAGTAGGTAATATGCAATTCTTGCGTTCTAATTCAACTTTATGGAATCGTCTTTGTATATCTTTGATCGAAGCTGGCTGTATTGGTGACGGTTTTCCTGCTTTTTGCTCGAAACATGATGTTACGCAGGTGAATTGAAGATGGGTAAAATTGTTTTTTTTCAGGTCTATTTTTTCTTTCGACGAGAAATGAAGACGATTTTTCAGATCATCTGTAGCGCTGAAGATTTTAATTTATTAAGTCCTGAAGGTGGTTGCTACTATTCTTGTGACTTTGTATTGCCCTGTGGCCATGTATGTAATAAGCCTTGTCATAGGTAAGGTCACTGATAATTTTTTCTTGAAACTCGAAGAAAAAACAGAAAATTCATAAGTTTTAAATCTGGAAAGTAACTTATCTATATATTCGAGACAAATTCAGGCAATAGCTTCTGTTGTAAAAATATGAAATACAAGGAAGACAAAACTCTGACGGACAAGTTATTCAATTAAATACAATACATTCAATTAAATGCCATGTATGTAATAAGCCTTGTCAGCTAAGTAGTCAAAATGGACTAATTATTAATTATGCTTATTTAAGGTCGGATTCACTACATGAAGGAATGTGCACAAATGCATGTCTGAGAACTTGTTCAACAGTTTTTCGACATCCATGTTTAAAAATGTGTGGGGAAGTAAAATATTTCGTTATTATTCAGAGTAAAATTTATGAAACCAGAATTAGACATAATAATCACACTTCAATTAATTACATTTATTAGGTTTCCATCTATTTTTGCCAACTTGATTATTCTACTTTCCGTTTCTTTGTTCTGATACTATTGAGTGATATCTTAGCAATGTGGGCCGTGTGAATCGTTTGAAAACAAGGTATTTGTCTGTGGACACTCGAACAAAGTTATTTGTTATTTGTTCGATAAGGCAGTTTGCAATCAAAAATGTCCGAAAAAGCTAGCCTGTGGTCATCAGTGTATGAAGAGATGTAATGAACAATGCAAATGCTCATATGTTAGTTTATGTGATTTGTCAATATCTCTGCTAAATATTGTTTTTTGATGATTTTCTTTATCATCAGTGCGAGTATACGAATAATTTGAGTAGAAGTTAGTTCCAGTATTAGAATCCTCTTTTCGTTTATTTATATTTAATTTTGACAGTTAAAAAAGTGTCTTGCTAATTATTCTCACTAAACGTATTAATTATATCTATTTTATTGTTTCTTATCTGAACTCTTCTGCAGAATATGTTATTAGCTTGTGGCCATATTATTAAAGCTTCATGTTCCGACAAAAAAGAAGTGAAATGTCGGATGAGCATAGAAATTACGTTGCCTCATTGTACTCATCGCCAAGTAGTGCTGTGTTGTGATTCTAAAAATGCAGTCTGTAATAGTTTATGTAGGCGAATTTTACCCTGTGGTCATTTCTGTCAGTCGGTCTGCGGCAATTGCACATTATGTGAGTTCCTGCTTTTATAGTAATTTATTTATCATTCAGATCGCTTTTTTTCAAAAAATAGCATTTTTGGTCTACATGGAGTCCGTCCTTTTTTTTTTCTTAATGATTTTCTTTATTATAAGTTTCGACATATATGAATTTCTTGTAACTGTGTCAACAATGCTCAGTTTCTTAAAAAGCTTAAAAATTCGATGTATAAAAAATATATGTTTATGATTGTACTGTATCTAAAGAATAGCACGCATGAAATGAATTACAGTGGGATGCAGCAGTTGCAGTTCTGTTTGCGGTCGACGACTTTCTTGTGGCCATGTATGTAAGCGTTCATGTGGACTACTTTGTGAACCCTGCCATGCTCCATGTGCAAATCAATGCGCACATGGTCCTTGCAGTGGGCAAACTGACGTTCAAGTTGGTTAATTATAAGATTTTTCTTTATGTTCTCACTCTAATGCTATTTGTTTTGATAAAAAGTAATCCTTCTGATGTTTCAGTTCTTAAGTTATTAAGTTGATTTTTAGTAACAATCAAGCATTGTTTTAGAATCAAAAAGCAATCTGTGGCGATCTTTGTCGATTTTGTGTTCAGCCTTGTGCAAATACTTGCAAACACAGATCTTGTTTGATGCAGTGCTGGCAAGTTTGTAACATAAGTCCTTGTGATTATCCATGTGATAAAAAACTCAAGTGTGGTCATGCATGTCTTAGTCTTTGTGGAGAGATTTGCCCAGGTGATGATATCACTAAATTATGTTGATTGGTTCATTTGTTTCATGTGTTATTTTTTCCAATGAATCTCATATTGATTCTTATTATGAGATCTACATGTGTTTTAGTCTTTGAGTTTTTATTTTGTTTTTCATCATGTACATATAATAATGTGCATTTCGTACATATAATAATGTGCATTTCGTTACAGATATTTGCGCCAAATGCGAGAATATGAAATACCCTGTTTTGCAGTTTCAAGGATGTAAATGTATTATCGCTGTAGAGGTTATTTTGGCATGTTCCTTTTTCAAAACTGAATAAATTTTATCAAACAGAAAACTGCATTCTTGCTGTGAATTTTTGAAAACTTTAGCGTCTGATAAAAAAAATTCATGGTAGACATGAAGTTTATGTGCATAAAAAGGTTTTTTGTGTTTATATTATTATGAGTGTTTGACGTGAATTTATCCAGGAAGCAGATTTCCATATCAGTAAGCAAACATCAAATGCGGAAGCGTATACATGTCCTAAATGTAATTCTAAACTTCCCGCAAATTGCTGTTTTCGATATGCGAAACAGCTAAAAAAACAGATTAATATGCGCGAAAATGTAAATTTTACTAATTGCTTATTATCTTGTATATATGAAAGCCAGTTGTATTTCATAAATAGTCCGTCGTAACTCAATTCAAAGTAGTATTCTAAAGAGAAATAAATAAGATTTTTCATTGATGAGTATTTTCACTGTTCCTTAATGAACAACTTTTTCATCATTTTAATAAATGTAAGATCATTTGCGTGACAAATGACTTAATTATTCCACAGTTTCAGGCTAAATTTGCAAAGTTCATTAAGGAGGATCTACCATCAGATGCGCAAATAAATCTTTTGAAAGAAGCTCAAAGTCTTCTGAGTGAATTGAATGCAACAAAAGACAAGAAGAGGGTATAGCTATAAATGATTAAAAACATTTCTAGAGAAAAAAAAATATTATGATTCGTTTTTGAAAGTTCTCCAGTGTTGGTACCATTGAAACAAAAAAAACAAAGGAATAGCTTAGACTTGTTACATCTGATTGCGAATTTTTAGGCCCTTCTTTCCATGCAGATAGCTGAAATATTGGAATTGGTCGCTCTAACTCTTGAAAAATATACTTATGGCAGTTCAGCTATTGTAGTGTGGCAAAAATTAATGAAGTAAGTTGAATTTTTTTTCCTATGTTTGCTTATTTCATCTATAGAAGAAATTTGTCGTACATAAGTCATGTCTGTACTCTTTATGTAGTTCGCTTTTTTAGCATATTTTCCGATCTATGTCAGTTAGTTTTGCACAAGGTCAATGAGAAATTGAAGACTGTTCCTCAGAAACGTTTCTCTAATCTTTATAAAATCATCAATGACACCTTCGGAGTTGCAAACAATATTCTTTTGGTTCTGGTTAGTTTATTTGAATCATTTTTACCTCTAGCGTGCACGATGCTAGAGAATTTGACAATTTTCGATAACTATTGTTTTCATTTCATTACATCTCATATGTAGTCATTTTTCGTTTCAGGAAAATGATGTCATTGATCTGCTAAGCTTTGCAGTTTTATTACAAACAGAAGCACCTTCGATATTGCAAGTACCGTTGGAGAACAAATTGCGAAAAATCTGCATCAAATACATAGTATTTTATAATTTTCTTGCCAAATAATATTAGAGAGTATGCAGAATTAATTGCATTCCCTAAAAGTTGCATTGGATATATTTCAAATATCGCTGCTGAAACAGACCAAAATTTTTAGCTCGCATGTCTTGCAAATGAGTTGGTAAAGAAAACGATTGATTTGTCAGAAGAGCAACTAAATGACTTATTGCGAGTTACAGAGCAATCCCTGAGCTGGACTAGTGATGACTTACAAAAAAAAGCAACAAGTATAGTTTCCTCAGTGTTATGCAGTTTTTATTGTGAAATTCAAACTTTTAATTGAGATAATAAGGCAAATTTTTCATATTTTTTTCGAATTGTATGTTTTTATATTTAGTTCGATTTATGAAGTGTGTCGACCGCTTATATGAAACTTTCGAAATGAGACATATGTTGGTTCGGGATTTCCGGTGTTTGGATTTTCCTTGCTGAAGTTCTGGTAAAATAATGTTTTAATTGGTTTCTGACAAAATCACTATTTCTAAATTTCGTAAAAATACTTATAACTTTTGATTGAGATAATAAGGCAAATACTTTAAACTCCTCTTCTTTAGTAAATTTTTTTCTCATTCATGTATACCAAACCTGTTAGATGATCGGAAAAGTTCTGGATGTACGTGGTACTGAAGTCACTGCTACTTTTCGACATTGTTGCTGCTTTTAGTCTGAATTTATCGGGAAAGAATGATTTCAAATTTTCATTACTAATTGTAATTTTTTGCTCCTGAAATACATTCTTGAGAGCATAATAACGCTTATTTATGGCCTTGTAACTCTCCCATTCTTTCAACCAAAGCAATCACACATCATTTGAGTTTATTTTTTGTGAAGCATAACATTATATCTAACCACCAATAATAACAGGTATATTTTCACACATCTTGTACACTTTGGTATATTTTTTTTCGCATTTATGACTGTCAGTGATCTCACCCGTACAGTGATCACTTTTTACATCAGCTTTATTTTGTTAACAAATGTTGATAACTTTCAAGGAATATAGCAATATATCAACATATTGCACGATACAACGATCTGAGTCTGTCCATTCTCAGTACAGTTTCTTAACGAGTCTCCAAATCTATGTATTTTGTAGTTGTTAAAGTTTTATTTGTGCCTTCAGAAAAGTGATTTGAGTGCCTATTTCATGTACCTGCTATCGTCATGTTGTCGTTACTGGACATGAGACTCTTTGTATTATGTGTTCTTTTCCTTGAGTTTGAATGAAAAACACTGTTTAAATACGAGTTACATTAAAAACTAACATTGGAAAAATGCCAGAATTATTACTTTATGTTCGTAACTTTATGTCCTAATCTGTTTGCCGTTCTAAGATAATTTATTCTATGGATATAAGTCATCAGGAATGAGGTGTTGCAGGTTACGGTGCAAAATGATGTGTAGTTTGAGACATTTTGTGTCATAGTGTCTGGATAGTTAACGTCACCTTATGAGGTACAATAGTGATTTCTAGTTTGTGGTTTGGGTTCTTCGTAATTTATGGTTATAGACTAAATGATGGTTCTGTAAATGATTTGGTTATTGGCGTAAAATCTAAAGTACGTACGAAGCTAAATTAATGGGATAGGTTTTGGCGTATGTTATTTTTTGTAATACTCTTTGTAGCTGTTGTTAGAACCGCGCTGATATCTTCTGACATTTCGCTGAATTATTTCTTGTGTTAAGAAAGATTTTTTTTTAATACTGAGGCCATAAAATTCTAGTATTATGGTACTCTTCACATTAATCGCTCGTGTATCGGATGGATTGCTTCTTGCAACTTCTATAGAAGGAAATGACGAGGTGTGTTTGTAATTGCTTCTATTTTAAGAGTTTCAGTTGTAAAAAGGATTGGAAATTATATACTTTTGAGGATTTATTCAATAAAAGCGAAATTTTCTTATGATTAATAATGATTTTTCGTCGATCAGGAATTGTAGAGGGTCTAATAAACAGCAAGACCAAACAAGAAGTTTTTCAACTTGATTCAGCTTTTAATAGTATTGCTTCATTATTGTTTGTAAATCTTCTAGCCAGATCACAATATGGTAAAATATACCAATCAAGCAAAGATGCTTTTCCGGAGGTTACATGCAGGTAGTCCGAAAATACATACTGTTGAAAGTGGCCCCTATTATTTCCAGTTCGTCTGTTTTTATCTCAACTTTGAAATTGTATTTGTCATTTCCGTAGCGTGAATTGATTTCTGTAGTTCCCAAAAACTGTTCTTATTCAATATTGTGAAAAATGACGGTTTTATTTTTGTGAAGATATTCTTTCCTAAAAAACAATACACTGCTATTATTACAGTTACGTGATTAAGGAATCAGTTTGCTCACTATGCCTTTGTGATAAAAATTTTCCAAGGAAATCAGCGTTTGCTTATTTGGGAGATATAACCAATGAATTCTTAGCTCAGCATGGGACACGTATAGAATCTGTCATCAGGCCATATCATTTTATCGAATTTGGTTAGTTTTTCCAAATACTTTGTAGACCCTCTCAATCTGAAGAAAATTGAATGCTGCAGTATATCCTTTACTAATATTGCTATTAGGTAGTATTTAATTTGTTCAATATTTTCGCCTCAACTTTATTTCCAATAAAAATAACATTTTCATAGCTTTCAGCTTTTCATTTTACTCTTCTATAGTAGTTTGTGATGAAATACATTTCACGAAAGTTCCGAGTTTTAAAATATTGGCAGGTTTTAAAAATTAAATTAAACTCATGTTCATTATTTTGTATCTTACATATTAATATTGTTTTGTCTTTTAGATCAATATATACAGCAAGCAAAAAGAAAATACGCTGATAGAAGCCGTCAAGCTATTTCTGCTGTAAGCAGTGAATTACAAGATGTCACTCGCATAATGGTTTCAAATATAGAGGATGTAATTCATCGTGGGGAAGCATTAAATAGTAAGATTTTGTAAACAGTGATTATTGAAGATGACAAATAAAAAATGTCTTAATTTTCATTGCTTTTTATTTTTTACACTAAGAAATGATTGCAACATATTGGAGCAGTCAAAATAAAATTCAGATGGTCATTATGGTATTACAAAATAGTTACACTAGAAATAAAAGCGATATAAACTCAGCATATTCAAATCTTTTGATTATTGTAGAAGAAAGTTTAAGTGATGTATTTATTTGAGAAAAGAGTGCTTGTGCATCGCAAGAAGTTTTAAGCGGTTATATTTTGCAGTTTTGGAGACAAGAGCGAGTGACTTGTCAGATATAAGTAAAAAATACCGTGAAGATGCAAGACTACTAAATAAAAAAAGCGCTGTATTCAAAGTGATTTTAATCACTTGTTTGTTAGGTTTCTTTGGTTTTGTTATCCGATATTTAATCTGGTAAATTTTTAATTATGTAATTCAATTGTATGTTCTCTTTTTCTTTTCTTTTCTTACTAATCTCTATCTTTCATTGTAATTTGTTTACAAAACTCTTTCCCTTAGAAGTTTTATTCGATGCGAATCCCGTAATGTTTTTTACTGAATTATTTTATTACATGGGAAAATTATTTTTTAATCAAATACAGATGTTAGAAGGATTCCAGGATTTCTGAGGCTTGTTATGATTGCATTATGATGTTTTTCAGGATGCTTTAAAAATTTTGAAATCACTCCAGAATATATTAATGACCACAACTTGGTTATATTTTCAAGTTTAATTTTCAAAAAGTCCAGATATGGAGATAAATGAGGGCAGGTGAAATGAAAGAATAAAAGTCATTAAATATTATCAGTGATCTGACTATTTATACTTAAAGTAATGTTCAAAGCAAGGAAATTCACTGCTCTAAAAAGAATGGTTTCGTTTTTTCTTTGTTGTGTCTTTCAATAATTTATTCGAATCGCAGATGATTTTCACTGCGTTTATGAATTGATTTGTACTATGTTTAGTAATTACGAATTAATAAATTAATTGCAAATCTTTAATGTTCTCAATTCTAAATCAGTACGTACCAACGCAGTTAATAGGGATATATCTTTCGCTAAATTTTTGATATATTTTCATGCTATTAGAAAATGTGGGGTGGTATTTTTTGATTTTTACCAAGTACGAAACATTTAGGGTGACGTTATTTATTTTCTCATGATTTTTATATATAAAATTTATATTCACTTCTATTTGCATTACCATCTGTGAAGCTTCGAGTAATAATAATTCCAATCTACTGTTATTTAATCTTAAAAAGCCAGGGATAAGGATTACATTAATTTGAAGTCAGTGAAAGGTATATTGAAGTAAGCATGTGATATGGTTGACTCTTTTAGTACAATAACAGTTGCACAGGATTTTGTTTGTCGTTGACGTCAGCATCTTCTTTTAGACATGATTAAGACATCGTTTATTTGCGGGTTCCGCTCGCAGTCGGCTAATTGGTTATCGTCTTTTATTCGTTCTGCCTTTCAAAAAACAATCTACAACTTTTCGTAAGATATATTTGGAATGTAACAGATGTTTTGTTGTGCATACATGTTTTGTTTGCGAATCTATTAACTCTATATTGCTTAAGTAATGTGCTTACTGGATAAAATTTCTTGATTGCTTATTCAAGTACCATCAGTTATCGCAATTGTGTGTTATAGACGATCCATAGTCTTTGGTGTATTTATGCTCTGACTTTTAGAGATTGTTTTGCATGAATGGTAGCTTATAAATTCGCAAAAAAAAAGCTTAAATTTTAGTCACGTAACATTTCAGAAGCAGTATACAGAATATGAGTGGTAGCGATTCGATTACATGTTTCGATTACTTAGTGATTGGTGGTGGCTCAGGTGGGATTGCTAGTGCTCGTCAGGCTGCTGAATTCAAAGCTTCTGTTGGATTAATTGAATCGAAACGCCTTGGTGGGACCTGTGTAAGCTTTGCATTTATTTAGATTTAAATTGTGTTCTTTTTAAATCCAATAGAAGGGATTAAGGATTTTTGGATTTTTGATGTGTTATAGGTAAATGTTGGATGTGTTCCGAAAAAAATAATGTACAACTGTTCTCGTCATGCAGAAATAATGAAAGATCATTATGATTATGGTTTCGATGTTACTGTAACTGGATTCCATTGGAAGTAGATTTTAAAAACATTACGCTTAATTTTTATCAATATTTCATGTTTAATTTTTACAAGGACACCTCTAGACCTTAATTTGCCGTAAAGTACAAATAATTCTATTTAGGAGAGTAAAAGACAGTCGCGAGGCATATATCAGACGTTTGAATGCTATATACGAAACGAATTTAACTAATGTTGGAATATTTCTCGAATTTCATTTTGCATATCATTCATTTGAAATCCTTAAGTCTTTGAAGGGTCATGAGACTAATTTTTGTCTTTTTAGGCTTACGATACTGTATATTTTGATAGATTCCTTGTTATTAGATACTAATAGGTAGATTTTTTGCATAAAAGCTTTCAGTTCCTGTTTCCGGGTATTGAAAGAATTAGTTTTCAAATATCCAGTTTTTCAGTACCTGAAAGTATCAATTCCGTTTGAAATCTCCATAGAATAAAATATTGATGGATTTTATATATTAAAAATAAGGTGGTAAATATTAATTGTTCGTCTCGAACTACTTATATATTTTAGATTATTTCATTTACTCAGCACTAAACATTTGCTTCACAACCTGATTTCATTATCCACTTTTTTAGATCCATAAATTTTAAAAATATTGCCATTGTGCATGCTCTTTTGCTACTAATTTTTAAGGAAAGTTTTAGTCTGGTATCCAGTTAGTTCGAGGCAGGGCATCGTTTACGAAGGATGGTATTATTGATGTTGATGGCAAAAAATATCTCGGGAAACACACGTTGATTGCTGTTGGAGGGCAAGTATAAATCTTAGTATACTAAGTGTTTCTAATTCAAAACTGTTATATTTGAATCCAGTTTTCATAAATTTTTGTGTGATTTCTAATGGATATGATTACAGGTATCCAATAAAACCTGATATACAGGGGGCAGAGTACGGCATTGACAGTGATGGTTTTTTCGATCTTGATATATTACCAAAGTTAGCTATTAAAAAAAATACAAAATGCATATCTTGATATCCTCAGCAGTCATGATTATTAGTACGAATGAAATAGAGGGAGGTCTTTAACTAACTAGTTGTAATGTAAATCTTACGTATTCATCGAATTTTAGACGTACGGTAGTAGTTGGCGCTGGCTATATAGCAGTCGAAATATCATCAATGTTGGCAGCATTAGGTTCTGATACACACTTATTGATACGAAAGGAAAGATTGTTACGGACGTTTGACCACACATTGTCGGAATGTTTAACAGAAGCTGTCGATAAAGGACCAACAAAGCTTCATAAGAATACTGAGGTTCTGTCGTTTATTCCTGCTTGTTTTCTAATTTGTGATTTAATGTGTTTATTTTTCAAAAAACAAATGTGTGGTGCAATTATATTCGTCAGCAGTAATATTCTTGGAACAAAATCAGTTTTTTACTTTCAAAAAAATATATATACCTGCCAAAAATAGAATTGTTTGAAGCATTACCATCACTTGCAGTTATGTGCCATGTTTTGTTTTTTAATAAATAGGAGAGTACTTATAAAGATAAATTGCCAAGACAGTTTCCTAATCTAATTTGATGCATAATTTGGTATAGCTGTTTTGCTGATGGTATATCTTCAAACTTTATGTTTTCTTAGGTGGAATCGGTGGAAAAGAATTCTGATGGATTACTTACTGTGAACACAACACATGGTTCTATTACAGATGTTAATGTCTTAATTTGGGCAATAGGTCGACATCCTCAAACACAAATTTTAAATCTAGATTACGTGGTTTGTTTAGCATTTAGCATTTATAACTAAGCTTCATTTTGAAAGTACATTTATGTCTCTATTAAAATTTTCGCAGGGTGTCAGTACTGATAGCAATGGCAATATAATTGTGGACAAGTACCAGAATACAACAGCAAAGAATATATATGCAGTTGGAGACTGTTGTGGAAAGGCACTCTTAACGCCAGGTTATAAGTTATTTGAATTGAATTTTTTGGTATAAAGTGCTTATTAGAAGCATGGATTTGGACATAAAATGTTATACGCTGAACTTTGTTTCTGTAACAACGATATTTAAAGAACATCATTATTATAGAAGTATATTCACTGCGTTCGCTACAGTTCGCAATTTTTATTTTCTAAGTGCACTCTACGAAATGAAGTTTAAATGTTTTATTTAAGAAATTATGCCTTTATTTCCCAAATCCATCGCAGCTGTAGATATCTCACTACGTTTTAGTTGCGATTGCGGCTGGAAGACGTCTTGCTCGGAGACTATTCAACAATGAAAAAGAAATTCATTTAGATTACGAGAACATTCCTACTGTTGTGTTTAGTCATCCTCCATTGGGAACTGTTGGGCTTACTGAAGGTTAAACACATCTTTTTATCTTCAGCAATTATTAGTTACGGTTATTCACCAATCACTTCCTTCCTTATTGATTTTTCTATGGAATAATATGCAGTGAATTTTAAATAGTTCGTATAATTTTTGCTTCAGCGCAAGCTGTACATCGCTATGGTGCAAATAATCTTGTGATTTATAAAACAAAATTTAATACAATATATCATGCTATCACGCAACGCAAAGAGCCTACCGTGATGAAACTTATCTGCGTTGGTAAAAATGAACAGGTATTCTATTAGTGAATTAAAAATTTTTGATTTATTTTGGAATTTTTCGTTTCATTTTCTTACTTATTTTATGTGAATATCATTTGTAGATTTTGGGTGTGCATTTACTTGGTGAAGGTTGCGATGAAATGTTACAAGGTTTTGCTGTTGCTGTGAAGGTAAAATACTTCTTTCCGAGTAATAGAGTAAAATTTTTAATTGGTTTTCTACCTCCTTATCGTTTTTTAAAAATTAGTTCTGAATTCTGAAAAAAAATTTCTTTAAGATGGGTGCAATGAAGAAAGATTTTGACAATACAATAGCTATTCATCCAACAAGCTCAGAAGAACTGGTAACAATGCGCGGTGGTTATAGACTCGGAAAAACGGCAAAATAACTTTTTAATAAAAAGTTTACAAGCATGTTAAAAACACATAGCCTTCCACAGCTACCTTCATCGGAACTCTTTTCATATTGCATTTAACCTTAAAATGTTTGTACTTTAAAAATTATGGTCTAGTAGAACCCATGCTAATTTGACAGATGTTGGAACTATTTTAGCACTTGAAATTTCAAAAAGTACTAACCAAACTTATGTAGGCATTACATCATTGGTCTGAGTAAGTGTATTTCTCTCTTCATGATTACTATTTGTTGCTGCTTTATTGCTGGATTTTTCATCAGAGTCTTCGCTATCATCGCCTCCCAGTATATGAGGTGATAAAATCTGACATTTTATGGCTATTGTTACTCTATTTACATCTTGAAAAATAATAAACGATGAATAATTGAATTTTTTTACTTCACCTCCAAAATCATGCTGTTCTTACTCCATATTTGTGGTGAGAGCACTTTTGGACTAAGGACGTGAATACTATATGATCCTCCTGAACCAACACTTGGTGATAATATGTCTGAACATCTATGTAAAATTATTAAGTTCATTATTTCTTTACTAAACTGGATTTCAATATTGACTAATAGTTTTTTGAAGTTTCATAACATTCATTGGTTTATTGCTAATGAATATCTTTTACTACCTGGAAGCCGGTTCAGTGATAAGCGGTCTGCTTATTTAATTTTCCACAATGATTTAAAGTTGTACCTGGAGTTAGTACTTCAATAATTAGCGTTTCTGGGCTTAGCACTCGAGAATGGATTAAATGTGGTGACAGCACAGCTGTTATCAGTGCTCTTGGGGAAAGTACCAGCGCACTAAGTGCTCGTGGGGAAAGCACCTAGCATTATACGACATCACAATCAACGATGAAATACGGCATGATTATGCAGCATTTAATGCACATAATTTAGTAGTATTAAAGTGATTTAGCAAATTTAAGTGAAGCTGAATAATAAAGCTGGACAATACTAACATCAATTCCAAAAGCAGTTGGCGAAAGAATCGTTGCAGTGAGTGCAGTAGGACTTAAAATTGAAGCTACAAAGGCGCTTGGAGACAGTGTTCGTATCTAGAAGCAATATGAATTATAATTTTCATAATTACAAAAATAGCTTGTAGGTTACAAAAATATCATCAACATGCAAATTATGAATATTACTTGTGCTGTAGTGAAAATTACTTACAAAAAAAGCTTGTGGGTGAAAGAGCTCCAAAATAAAAGCATGTGGAGAAAGTGTAATCATGTCTAAAGCTGAACCGTAGCCAACATAACTTGAAAATGCCACCGCTTTGAATGTGTGGAACGTAATCTAAATGTTGCATGGAGCATTTAGGGTTTTTTCAATAAGATGAATTAGTAATATATGGTAGCTTGATTAAATAGTGTCATTGTAATGAAGTAAAAATCGCGGAAAATTATGAGAATTATAATTCAATACAAAAGAACGTTATATAAAAATATAATTCGTTACAGTTTGCGAAGTATGCCGTTTAATACGCCCTTCTGGAATTTTTGGGATATTGCTCATAATTTGTTCAGTAGCATGTGCCAAGGCTCGGATTTTAGCTTCTATTATTTCTTCTTTTTCTACATCATTCATTGCTGTATATGCTGATTCATCCAAATTTAGCTTGCCTAAGTTTTATTTTACAATTTACTTCAGTTCATTTATTCCCACATTTTATTATTCAAATTAACTATATCGTTAAGTATTTAATGTTTATACATTATAACTTAATTTCATGCATAAAATATATAAAAACTGATCACATTATTTTCATAGCAGTAATACATACGTGCGACATCATTGCCATAAATAAGACAAAGTTGTTTTGTTGTTAAATATGAGTAGCCTTTTTCTTTAAGATCCACTCGTTGTTGTTCTGAAATTGTGAAAACTTCTCAAAAATTTTGTTGTGCTTTTTTGTTTACAGAAATGCACTTGCAGTAGAAAATTTAAAAAACCTGAATAACTATTCAATGCTTCTTCCCAATTTTTTTGCAAAGCGATAAGTTTGAGAACTGTAGGATACACAATATTTTCCATTTCTTTTCTGCTTCCTTCAGTAGTATCAATAATTTTCTGAACTGCCTGTGCGGCGCCACTCAGTTCTAATATTAATTCAAGAAGATAATGCTCAATATTCATTTCTGATCCAATAACAAGCTGTAATAATCATATCTTTACACAGAAGCAGTACTAATGGTATTAACGATTACTATAAAAATTTGAACTCTTTAACTAAACAAATAAAAAAGTGAGTAAATAACTTTGCAAGTATTTTTGAAGCAAATTTTTCTACCGATTTTAAATACTTCAGCTTTTTCTATGCTGATTTTTTTATTCTTAAAAACGATATAAAAGCATTGAAATATTTAAAGCCATGCTTGTCATATGATTATTCATATCTGAATAAGTACAGAAGCTAAGACTATATGAATTATTTGGATTTTCAGAAAACTCTTTGAAGCAGTTTACCTCGTACAAATCATGTAAAGATAGCAAGCCCTCACGTTGGAAACTAAATATTGTTGGTGATAATATTCGATGATTTTGATCTCCTCGATCCGGGATAATTGATAGAAAATGAGGAGACATTAAAGAGATCGATTTGCCTTTTATTTTTTGCTGAAATAATAAAAATATTGAAACAAAAAGCAAACTTGTGATATCTAAAGCTTTTATATCATCTTTAAGCGTAAAAATTTTTTAAAACTGATCGAAATAAAAAAAATATCAATTCAATTTCAAATAAATTAAGGCTGGAATTACTGAATATTGTAATATAAATTAACTGTTTAGAAAAAACATTATTAGTTTATAGAAAGTTGCTGAAAGTCAATTTCAAAATTTAACAGAAGTTTTTACAGCAAAAAAAATTATGCATAGTAATTCTATTACAATTTAATAATTTTGGCAGTTTATATTTTAAGCAGACGAAAATTAACCTGAAATGAATTAATTCTTTCTAAAACATCTCGCAGTAATGGTTCATCAGTTGCACTTTTTAACCTTTCAACATGGCTTTCGATTGATAAGTAAACATTCCGTAAAAATTTTGTATTGAGAGTGCTCACAGACTGCATGAATTTGTTAACTTTGTCAACTTTATTATAGTAATCACAGATCATTCGTAATTGCTTCACATTTTTCATTTCCAACCTTTGCGAATTATTAATGCCTGAATACAAAAGAGGATTACTTCGTAATTTTCATGTTTTGTTTTACAGTATTTTTCTGTACTCTAAATAGTAAAAAGATTTATCGTGCATTAATACAAAAGATTTTTTTTTACCGAATAGAGATGCAATATATGTTGGAGCAAACTTTGTCATCGTTGAATTTCTGCTAAACAACTCCAGTAAATCTAAAAGTTTTATGAAAAAATGACATTAAAAATTGTAAAAGTTATGAGAAATATAAGTTAATAAATCAGTAAAATATAGTTTGATATTAAAATCTGCCTCGACTACAAAACAAATATTAGTCATATTATAAAATAATGCTTCTCTATACTTTGCACAACATTCATATAATCCCGTTTTCTTCTTAGCTTGAGCATAAGAAATGAATCCATATTTGTTGATGAAACTTTATTCTTAGCTGCCACCACAGTGTTTGATCTGAAATAATTTTCGAGAATAACTTCATCACAATTTACAAAATCACAAAAATATATTTTCAGAATAAATTTTTCTGAACTTTAATCACTGCAAAAACTAATTCAAATCACAGCTAAATGTAATTAGTATACAACCTTGACAGCATTGCTCTTTGTCTGTTATTATCCAAACGCTTTTCTAAGCAGTCATCATTCCATTCGTCACAATTCCATTTTTCATGAAATTGAATCCAATGTTATCTTACAATATTCAAATCTGTCACTAGTTTTTAAAGCAAAAAAAAAAATTATGCCAATTTAATGAACAAAAATAAATCAAAAAAATAATGTTAAGTAGAAATAATTTTTTAAACTGCGTCAAATCTATGATGACATCAGTAAATTTAGATCAGCAACTACTTTCGATTTTCTTTCTTGTTTGATTCTGTTTTATGCTGTAATGAAGTTATCTCCTTAGAATCTGATGTAAATGAAAGCAGAATAACTTTGAATCGAGATCAATCAAACTCAATAATGTTTCCGTGAGTTAGCAAACAAAATTACTCAATACCGAGAAATGATAATATTCTTTGGCAGCGAAAGCTCTTTCATTATTTTCCCCCGAATTATAACTTTTGATAAATTGATGATCAAGTGAGGATTCAATATTCTGTTGAACGTCAGACTGATAGCGTATAATGTCTGATTGCAAATTTTGTTGCTTTATTCGTTTATCCTTCTCAGCAATTTCCGGAAGCCATTTTTGCAATTGTTCTAGCCAATTGCGCACTTCAGTATTAAAATACTTAAATCCAGGAACTATTGAATACAGAAGCTTACTAGCGCTAGAACCTAAACACAATATCATTGAAAGTACGGTCATCAATAAAGAAACCTTGATCGAAAAATTAAAATTCATGGAAATCATACTTTAAACTTTATAAGTTAAAAATTGCCTGAAAATTTCACCATATAAAGTTAACATAGTCCTCAATACTTTACGAAATAATATAATATACGTTGATCAGAATTTGAAAATCGGTGTAATTTTGACCGATCTCGAGCATCTAGAAGTTTTACAACACATTTAGCTAATGCGGCAATTGTCTGCACTTCACTTTCACATCTTGTGTACATTAAGTAATCATTGCGTGGCACCATTTTCTGAAGTGTACGAGCCTTTGCCTGTAAGGAATGTGCTCCAAAATCGAAGTTCAAACTAGAAGCAGTTATACAAAATAGAACCCCCTTTTTCACCTAAGCAATCCCTACCATACTTGGAAGAACATTTTTATCTTGTCTCCATTCTTTTACCAAACTCGATGAATTCCACATTTTTAAAATGCAAAACATATTTTAGTCGAATGATATTTATTACAATTTCTTTACAATAACCAATAATTATCTGATTAAACCTTTAAGAAACATTTAGCAGCACTGGCAAACCAAAAAACCCGCAACTGTTCAAAATTCATCGTATAATATTCACTCTTCATATCTAAATTCAATAACTATACATTCATTTCTGTTTCTAAATTTTCTTATTAATAATAAATTTAAAGTAAGATAAACTAGCCTGGAACAACGACATGACAAACCGTAACCATTTCAATAATGAGCAACAACAACGATCTAGAAATGTACTCCATAGATTTTACTTCGCAAGAGATGGTATTAAGTTTAATAATGATTTGATGGTTGGTACATGAATTTAAATTCTCAATAAAATCTCTATTTAAAAAACTTTTTCTAGACCAACTGAAGAGATCAGGACACTTGTCGAAGTTTGGAGAACAATTTTAAAAAATGGGTCTTATCTGCAATTCTTAATCGTCTTAAATCTGTACAATTTTTTAAATATTTACAGGTCAAAAAACTTATAAAGACGAATCTATGAAAATAAAACGTATACAAGGTAAACAGCACAATTATTTTTTATTTTTCATTCCAATAAATATGTTTTGGAATGAAAAATAATAGTTCCACTTGACATCAAGTAATTATTGTGTCATTCCCAACCTATATTTGAAATTGTCAAAGTCATGCAATGAATAATGAATCTAGCTTCAAATTTAATTCCGAAGCGATATATCCGAGATAATAATGACATAATGAAAAATATCCTTTTTTCACCGCAATATTTTATTGCTTTTTGTAATGACTAGAGTTCGAAAAAAATTAAACCAGTTTTTTAGTAAAATATCGTACTTCTTTAAAATATAATTTTATATGCTATGGCTTGTAAATTAATTGCAGAAAAGCATTGAAAATAAATAGAGGTCAATAAAGCGAGCAGTGTATTTCTCCAAGAAGTCTATGAGTAGATGGACTCTGACCATGAAAAAATAGTAAAGCAATAACGAAATTAAAAATGATGCCTAATATTTCGGCAATCTAACCACTTGGAAGTAATATTAGCGAAAATAATATCCTGAAATTTAACATTCCAGCCATGTGTTTAAAAATTCTGTGATAGCATCAGTATCCCATTTTTCTATATTCATTATTTTTTTCACTTCTGCTGCTTGCGCGTCCAATAACTTAATAGTTGGCAATGTGCCTCGAACATGCCGAACTTTAACACAAGCTTGCCATTTCTTCACCATATTAGATTTCACGAATTCTAAAATACTTTCCAACTAAATTAATCTCAAAGTATAGGTTGCCAATGAATTCTTTATATTAGAAGAAAATTCAATGAACATAAAACCTTTGTTCTGCAAACTACTTAATTAAATCTTGACATATTAAAGTTAACCTTCTACTTGAGGAAACCGTGCCAAATTGCATTCACAAACTTCGATAAATGCCAGAGGATACTTCTGGAAAAAAAGATTGATCTGATAAAATATACTTTTTAAGCTTTTAACAATACCAAAAATGTGTTTCGTTACTTAGTCAAAAAGATTACTTATATTATTGATGCATGAAACTTTTACGAATTTTCTGTTTTTTAGATACCTTTCTGTACAATCGCGGTAAATAGTGATTTAACTGATTTGACAATACTTTGAAACAACTCTTGTATCCGGAAAGTCTTATGGAATCCTACGTTATTTTTACCACTGAAGATTTGACTTTTTCTACCCAGAACAGTATATATAAGACACATTCAAGGAGTCAATAAATTTGAAGCAAA